TTGGTCAGCGTTTTGCCATATACACGATATTCTTAACATAAGTATAAAATTTAATAACAATTCGTGCGGTCATTTCGAAGATTATCAGTCTAATAAAAATTGACAGAGACGATGGAAAGTCAGGCGTTAGAGAGATGGAACCGGGAGACCAAATTTTTTGTACTCTAGGCTTCATGAAACGTCAAGAAAACATGCAAGTAGCAAGTCGCTTAATAAACTCAATTACTACACTTGTGACTGTACTATAAGTGAAAGTAATTCGAAGTTCTGGAATTTAAGACTAGACTTTTCAAACAGGATGCTACTGTTCCTAAAAGCTAACTTCCATCGTTTGCAGGCTATAAACCAACCTGAATTCTAATTCTAAGACGATTTTGACACGTTTCGAACGCTATTACTGACAAAAACGTCTTATAATTTTTACTTCCCGAGCGTAAGCGAAGGAAGTATTGTAATCGAGTCCGTCGACCGACTCTCTACTTTTACGTTTTCTCTAACTTTCATGACCCCTACAGTACGAAGAAATAGGTCTCCTGTTTCCTGTCTGTCTGTCCGTTTGGCGGCCGTCCCGAATTTTTATTAGACAGATAATCTCCGAAAGTACTGGGCCAATTGTTGTCAAATTTTGTATTTATATTAGGAACGTCATGTAGATGGTAAAACGCTAACCCAAATTTGTTTAATCATCCTCACGAATAACGTGATGATAACATTTCACAATTGTACATAGTAAATGGGTTTTAAATTGTATAAAATAACATAGTCCTACACATGTAGTTTTTGACGCCCTGTTAAGTTTTATCGAAATGTCCAGATTTTTGGGAAAAGAATCAAAATTATAAAACAACATTTTGCAATTTAATTTTGAATCTGCAAACCTGAATGCTTTGAAATCCTGCAGACGTTATAAAGTTATGATTATCATGATAAATTTTTAATTAAAATCATTTGCTTATCTCTTCCGAAAGATTGATGACGTCAGCTCAAAATTTTGCCGAATTAATCCTTTCGGAAAAGTCTAAAATATGATGAGTCTAAATTTGGAAACAACAGTTCCCCCAAAAACACGTAATCTACCTGAATACATGTCATATTTATGTACATTTCTGTACAAATCCTATCCTTCCTCCTATCCTATCTTTCGTCTAACTGCCCTATGCTCCAACTTTCTCTTCCAGTTTCTAGAATTTTCTAAACTCTTTCTTTAAGTTCTTTCACCTCTCCAAAACCGAACCTAGGTGTCGACAATTTTTAAACACCATTCCTTTTTCTTCCTCGAGCTCTCAACCCGTAGGTAAGCATCTAATAAAAATCTGAAAACCGTAACCGTCGCTATTTCTTATTAAAATCCTCACCGATAGTCACAATTCCATCCATATTTTTTGGATTTACTTATACAAGTTACGCAAAAAAATTATTGACCAAATCAAGAATTGCAAAACTCAATACTTTGAAATCTTGAAGACGTTTTGATGTTATGAAAGAATGGTAAATTATTTATCAAAATATATCTGTTCATCAACTCCAAAAAATTGATGACGTCATCTCAAAATTTTGCAGAATAAATCCTATCTAAAATATGCAAAATATGATCAATCTATAATTGTAATTTATCACTGCATTCATATTTTTTTAGCTTTGCTTATAGAGGGTGACTCAAAAAAATTAAGGAATTAGTGAATTTATTTTATTGAATAAATCAAGAATAGCAAAACTGAATATGTACTTTGAAATCTTGCAGCCGTTTTAAAGTTATTGAAGCATAGTAAATTATTCATCAAAATATATCTGTTTACTGATACTGATGACGATATCTCAAAATTTTATAGAATATATACCACCCAAAATGTGCAAATGTGTTCTTATTTGTAATCCATCATTGCACTCACATTTTTTAGATTTTCTAAAGCAGGGGACTCAAAAAATTAATGAATGGGTCAATTTATTTTATTGATTAAATTAGGAACGCCTCACTCCATTTTCCCAGAAAATTTTGGGAATACAATACTGTTATTTTTAGTATTATACTGCATCAATCCAAGTTGATATACGTGTATTTGCAAAAATGTTGATGACGTCATCACAAAACGTTGTTTTTACCAATAGTAGTAACTTAAATTCGAATTTGAAGACGATTTTGACACGATTCAAACACCATTTGTGATAGAATGTTTAATGAAACACAGGTTTAACACATAGGACTTTTATAAACAACTAATGACGTAAGTCAAAGAATTCGAGGATATCGAAATTTTAAATACAATAATCAGGGCTAATTGAGGAAATCGAGCTTGGAATGTCCTACATAAAAAAAGAAGAAGAAAAAAGAAGGGCTCGGACTGTGTCCAGAATGGAGGGCCAGATCTCGAAAATCTTGTGTTGTTACTATAAACTAGCATCAAATCGGCTCTTTTCAGAACCAACAGTAATTTCGACAAATAAAGTAACAGTAAATTGGTACTGGTCAACATTTTGGAGAAACATGTGCACTCTACACTAATGTTGGTTAGTGGTTACACAAAAACCTAAATTTTGCGATCCCATATTACATACGACTGCAATAACTGTATAATCACAAATACAATTTTCAATTTAAAGCTGGTTAGCTGGTTGCTAATCTTATTATTACTGATACAATGCCTCAACAGAGTGAAAACTCCAATTATTAGGCAAGGAGCATAAAGATTAACAAAAAAGTGGAGTGAAATTAGCAAGTTTAAAATCTTAAGCACAATGAATGCTAGACAACTCGATGGAATGTGCTGTACTGATGATATCAAACAAGATCGAAACTGCAGGCTACAGTTTTCCAACACGTTGTCTAGCCTTCGGGGTGATTGCAAATTATTGTATTTTAAATTTGCCGCTAATTTGATGCCATTGGACGTAACAGTCGATACGTATGCGTATACCATGTTTCCTTCTACCATGCGTTGGATATATGTATGACGGCGACGTTGCCAAGTTTCAGAGGTCAGAACGTACAGTTTATATGCCGGAGGTAACAACACATGGTAGAAGGAGACATGGTATAGGCATCCGATGTACCAATTTAAAAATGGTCTGCGCATCCATTTGTGACGTTCGGTGGCATCAACGACCTTGTGACTCTTGTGAGCTTCGCCTGTGGCTTCGCTAGGGAAGTCTAGGGAATTTCAGCTTGAGTTGTCATTGCTCTGTCCAATACGTCAATTAGTTGTCGGATAACGAATTGTATTTTAAATTTCGCGCTAATTTCACCCCACTTGACGTCACACCCGATGCGTATGCCTATACCATGTCTCCTTCTACCATGGTAACAACATACTAGCAGTGTATAAAGGTAAGCGACGCCAGCGCCAACGGTCTACAGCTCAACTAAAATAAAAAATTGCGACTATGGGATGCACGTTATGACCTCCAGACGAAAATTGAAAATCAAGCTCCTAGCGCCCCCTGGATGATTAAAAAATTATTTACAAGGCAAAACCACAGTAGATCAGTAACGAAACTTCAGCAATATTTGCGGAACGGGTGTGACCTTGGGAGCCCGTTCCCGGGAAACACGAAGATTCAAATATTTCGTAGCATTCGTATGTGATTCATATAATACTAATAATTGTACTCAAAAATAAAAATGGGTGGCATGTACTAGTGACATTGGCCATTTTTTTCTTTCTTATAAATTATTAATGTATTCAAGCAAAACATTTTTATTCAATTTTGACGTTTTAAACTGCGTTTATTAAATCCTTAACAAGTCTGACAAATAAGTTGTTATCACAAGTGAATTGCAAAATTTTTATTTCACTCTTAATATTTTTAAATCACTCACAAAAAAATAAAAAACAACTTCAGGAACATAAACATTTTGCTTATTATTTTTAAGTTTTCACAGAATACAATTTGTTTACAATTTTCACTAAAAGGTTGCTGCAGCTAAATCAGTATTGTTTGACATATTTGTTTGTCTCTGTGAGACGTCAATTTGGGAATTGTATAAATCCCACACCAATACAATTCCAAAGTGTGTTTCGGAAACTATTTACTACAGATTATTTCGATACGAGTGCAAGAACCAACTGTAAAACACTATTTTATTTGAAATGAAAAATTTGCTAAGGTGTTCTTTTAAACAAACTTCCACAACACATCTCCCCTGTATTCCAGCCTCTTCAACAATCATTAAGTGATGTGAGTTACCGGAAACTCACCTTGAAAGAACATAACTGTTTATGGTATGTTTGTGGATACTCATTAATACCAAAATTCTTACACCACCACTTCTGCGAAGTTTGTTGTGAATTTTGCACATTCTTACGAAGTGGTACATCCTGTTTTAATTGTGTGACATTTTAAAGTCTTCAATGAAGATGTGATTTTTGGCGATTTAATGATACCACCTAAACATTTTGCAGTTTATACATACTCCGATGGGTAATACATTTTGTCAGTTTTCCCAATTTATGCACCGTAGTCGTTAACTGGTTTGCGGCTAAAAAACGAACCATACAAAAATACCATTCCACCACCCCTGCAAAGACTTTCCTCTTGATTACCTCGTTTCAGTTTTTATTAGTTAGAATTTTGTACACGCTAAAATTTAAAATTAAATCTTGGACGGCTCAAACACGCACACATCGAAAATTAAACTATTTCGTTTAACCTGCAGTTTGTTGACCTCTTTAGCCTGGAATTTTCTAGTATTTTTTACATGTATCGTAAGTATCTATCTATTATTTTGTAAAATAAATTTTACGTTTGTTTTTAACCCCATAACCCAACATCCCGTATGATTCCGTAATTAAAATGACATTTCTTGTTGAGAAAACCAGACAAAACGTTCACCGAAAACCTTAAAATGAAAAAGAAACTATATTCTTCAAGGTCGGAGCACCTTTAGTGACGCTAGTGACCTCTTTATGTCGTTCCGTAAGCTCCCCATGTATTTCTTATGGAATCAGCTGACACTTTTATAGCCCTGGTTCTGTAGTACAAACCTATCTATTCTACAACCGTGGTCTGAACTGACTTCGTACGAAAGATGTTGACAGCTTGATTTTATAAATAATTCACGGTAGATAACGAAAAGAATGGTAAATTATTGGGCAGGATTGTGATTACAACACTTAAAATAGGATCTTTGTTCTAAATTATAAAATTGTTTTTTTTATAAGGACTCAAGAGACAGGTTAGAAGAAACATCTGTCAAAAGCGATTTGTTGCGTTGGTGCGGTACAAGGATGGAAGGGAAATAGACACATACAGATTCAATGCATATAACAAAGATGAAGATGTGGTGATCACACAAGGATAGCATTATACTACTCCCCTTGACGTAGAAAACGACAACAGATAGCTTCATGTCTAGTCACAGCTTTCAGTTTGAGTATTGGTATCTATTTATAGTAATATTCATAATAATAATAATAATCATTTATTTCCAACAGGCAAATTACACCCAATTACTGGAAACAATAAAATACTTAATTCTAACAAAGAATGTAGGCATAAACTTAAAATTAAACTTATTTAACTAGAAAAAAAAAAAATAGAGAGAAAAAGAAACAAGGGAAGGTAAAAAAGAAAAAGTTATTTCTCAAAAACCGTAATAACAATTTCCGAAATTCTGTAAATGGAGTCAAAATGAATACCACATACACTGTTTAAGCTATTAAATAAATCCATCATCAGCGCTATCGGTGACTTAACTAAAACATTAGTTCTTTTAGGTGCAGAATAAAAAGTACGTGAATTCCTTGCGCACATGCGAGGCACTAAAAAACTAAGTTTATTTAAAAGATAAATGCAGTCTATTCGGTAGTTGACAAGATTGTAAAGGAAGCGAATAACACTTATAGCACGTCTGGTATTTAAGGTTGTTAAGTTAAATCTTGCCAAAAGAAGCGAATGATCAAGACCAATAGGGGGATAAACACCATCAACAACATAAGAAATTAATTTAAGAAATTTCCTTTGCAACGATTCAATGTGATCTTTATGAATATTGTATATAGGGTACCATATCAATGCACAGTATTGCAGCCTGGATCTAATCAATGAGGCATAAAGGAGTAGCAGAACAGATGCATCGGTGAAATCTTTGCAATTCCTATAAATGAAACCATAAGTTTTGTAAGCGATGCCCAAAGTATCAGAAATGTGATCCGTGAAATAGAATTTTTGATCAAATAGAACACCGAGGTCCTTGATTGAATCAACACGATTTATAACCTCTTCATTTAACGAATAATCATGTAGTAATAATTTAGATTTTCTCGAGAAAGTCATTGCATTGCATTTGGATACGTTAAGGGTTAAGCGATTTTGTGCACACCAGTTTGAGATTGCCATCTTCATTTGACGGGACAACAGAGTTCTGGTTTGTTTTTTTACTGAATTGTCTATTTTTAATTTAAAAATTGCTCTTTCAACAATTTTTCCTTCTGCGCTTGTCTAAAAACGTCAAACCCCGTCGCTGCCTACCGTATTGAACAAAAATCCAAGCAGAACAGGTTAACCAACCTTACTTTTTTACAAGTGGACAGATTGAAATGGCGCCGACTTTATGTACTTATACATATTAGCCAAATACACTGACGTCATCCGAGGTCATCAAGATGGCAGCGTTTGACAACTAGCCGGTTTTCTCATAAGAGTCAATGCTAATATTTTCGGAATTCATTTAAATTTGAGAGTGTGTCAACTGTATATTTATAGTTTGGTAAGTTTGTTACAGTTTCTAGCGTGTGCAGATATCTGTAAAACGCACCATAACGTTTGAATATCCTTAAAAAATAATGTTTTCCAATGTGATGTACAGGTTAACTTCGCTGCATCTTATATTATTTGTTTTGCTAATTAATTCTGTGTTAATGTACATCAATGTTTTTTAAATACACTAGCATCTTAATATCATAATATTTTGTATTTTAGGAGAAAATGCCTAAATTTTGTGCTGTTGTGGGTTGCGCGAATCGAAGCACCAGAAATACGGACAAATTTTATTTTCCTTTCCCAGCAATTAGCAACAATAAAGGTAAATATGTACAGGATGGGGAAAAAAGGCGGAAGCTTTGGTTAAAAGCCTTGAAACGAGTGGATTTAACGAAGCCAAAGTAAAGTATCCCTATATTTGTTCGGATCATTTTATTTTAGGTACAGTAACTACCTATTAGATTTACAGTTTCTAATAAATTACTACATTGATGCTCTTTTAGATAAACCTGCAGATTTGTCGGATGTGGACCAGCCTGATTATGTTCCATCACAAAATTTAGGATATCAAAATAAATTCACTCATAATACTTGTAATGTTGAAAGACACAGTCGTTTAAAAAAGAGAAAACTGAATAAATGCCTCTAGACTTTTGAATGCACGAATTTCATTGTAGGTTATTTTACTTATTCCAAAAATAAAAAAGTTTAGAATGGTATTCATTGTTATGGTAGGGACATCGTCTAAACACAAATTAAAATCACTTGCACTTATTATATAAGGATCTACGCCGTTTAAATTATCTATACTTTAAAAACAAATCACACATCTTCACTTAAACCCGTCACATTAACCTCAAACGAAAATATTAATTTCCGATTTACCGCTTAAAACACACGGATGTATTTTGGGTGACGAAGAATTCAGACCAAAACAGCGTTATGTATTTTTATTTTTATTATGTATTTTTAAACTCAAATCGCCAAAATAAAGCACCCTGATACACAGAAAAGATATGAAAGAAGCTATTCACGTGTTTATTTTCTAGATAAATACCCACACTTTTAAATAAAATGCGAAAATGTTAGCATTGTCACTTATGGAGTTTCACGGCGCTTGTCAAACGCTGTGTTCCCGCCACAGCGTGACATCACGTGTTATTGGCTAATTCAATATCTATGACCCGAAGTGTCAAAATTCTAGTTACATTCTCCTAAAAGTTTTCACTAAACAGGGTAGCTACTACCGTATTTGGCAAATTTTTAAGCGGGATCAAGGTCATTCTTACCTCAACCGACATTTTTCTGTGTTCAAGGGCAAAATGATTGAAATCGACTGTTTGGATTCTTGAATTAAAGACTATATTCGTTTGTTTGTGATGGGACAGTGTATTGTCTGTGTAGTCTGTTTTAGCGTCACTATAATTGTAATTCGTGTGACCGGAATGAAAGTGAAGGAAACAGGAAGCAGTTTGTAATATTCTGATAAATATAGTGTCAATTTGTCGTAAATAAAACGCGTTGTTACAAATATTATGACATTTCTTCTAGTTACTTTTATTCCTAGTTAGAAACAAACACTGCTACCAACATAAATTGACGAGTCCTCAACCGTCATTCGATTTAAACTATGACGCTTCTCTATGTTCTCTGATCGAATAGACTAAAAGCCCATCGAGTCCAGAGATATGGAGAGAGAGAATGAGCTTCCCCTTGCGCAGACCCAAAATCCTTGGTAAAATTGAAAGCAGCCATTTTATCAGTTGACTGTTGCCAACATAATCACAAATCACCAACAGAACTTGATATCCCTAGACAATTGCTTGATTATTTAGCGGGAAGTTTAAAATCATTAATTAAAATCACCTAATAATAAATCACAACTAAAACATATTCCACTTTACATAAATAAATAAACATAATTATACTTAAATATATTTATTGATGCGAAAACAGTACCAATTATGTGTACACATGTCTAACAGAAGTGCCCTGTGCAAGACATGAAGTCTTTTGCTCAAATTAAACATTCTTATTTACATGTAGGCATTAATTATTTGTTTAATAAGAATATATAAATGGCCTTCATCGATGGCCGCCGTCTCGAGTGCGTGGGTCCTCTAAGTTAGGAAAAAGAATGCTGGCATGCCGAAAGTTTAAAAAAATTGTTCATCGCTTGGAAGTTTGTTATCGGTGAGTTGCAAAATTTTTCGTATTTGCAACTTACCGTAACAAGTCTTTACAACCCCAGCAAAAGGTTTAATAAGCCCCCCTAAAATCAAAATTTTGTTAAGACTTAAAAAATAACTATTGTAAGTATTTTATTTTACCCATGTTTTTTTTGTCCAATAATCTGTAAAACTGTAAGTCACTTCCTCGTGTTTCAATGCAAGAAGAAAGTCTGCGCACTTAAACGTCTTCACCACCATTTTGACAACATAACTACCAATATATGCCACGTTTTCTGCCACTTCACTCAGCCCAATAAAATTAGACGGTCATAGTCATGTCTGCAAGTGCTTCAGTCAAAATATCGAGATCATATTTTTTCAAAACAAACACGTCAACTGATTGTTGAACATTTGTGCTCTTTTGTGCTAACAGAGAGCATACAGGTGGTGCAAAGCACTTTACAATTTCCTCCTTCCCTCGTTATCTTTGTTAATAGAAGCAATCTTCTAAAAGTTTTACAAAATTGTAGAGGAGTAGCGTTATTGTTTCACCCATTTCTCGATCTGAAAACAGAAAGATAAATACAGATTTGTGTAATTCCAGTGCATAAAAAAGTAATACAATTGTTTCTTTAAAAGCTTACCGCACTGAGCAGAAGAAAATTTCCAGATGATCTTGACTACATTTATATGTTAGCAAGTCATTCAACCTCCTACTACTAACAAATTCATCAAAAATTCCCATGAACGACGTAGCGGAAATAACAAAGCCCAGAACTGACGTTTTTCGGGGCGTGCACCACAAAGGCCTGCCAGTGACATCCTTCAAATTCAGAAGATACTCACTGGTGTCGATGAGAAATGGACGCCACATTTCTTCATTGTTTTCTCTCAAAGATGCCTTAAAATTCTTAGCACGTACACTTCGGGAATTGAGAATATCAAATAAAGAATCTATCCTTCTGATGAATTCTATTGTTGCTTCACAATCTTGAAAGTCACTAATACCAATATCTTTTAAAAATTCAAGGGCATCCGCAACTCTTGCTAAGAGTTTGTGCTGCTAAACTCACCTATAATAGAACTTAATTATTAATGTCAATAAGAAATATTGTCAGGAAAACAACTTACTTTCATTTTATGTTGCCGCCACTCCAAATGTGCCTTTTTCAACTTGTTTGCAACATTTAGGAATTCTTCTTCATGTAGTTTCTTTATGTAACGCCAGCTTATCACCTTCCCTACCGTCAGAACTACTTTTTGAGTTCTTGCTTTTACTTCCACTTGTACTGCTACTGCTTTTTCCATGGTATCTCTGCGCAGCACTAAATAATAATTATTAACAGTAGTAAAAAATTCAATATAATAAAATATTCAAACCTTAATGTCCTTAATGTCCTCTTTACATCGATGGAGACTCTTCTCAAATATCAGCTGAAGTAGCACTCACAGTACTCATTGAAGTTGAAGAAGCTTGTAGACTTTCATCTAAATTCACATTGGGAATTGCGTTCGATTTCAATCGTTTTCTCTCATTTACAACAATGAAATCAGTTGTTGTGAAATGATCTGAGCACACCAGCTTATACTTTGGCGGTTGAGGACTCCAATGTCAATAAGGGTGGTTTTGCAAAATCAGCCTCTATGTCGCTTCTCTATGTTCTTTGATTAATTAGAACGGTCATTGTGTCAGTTATCAGTTAGGTTAAACACTTAATTCATGCAAATACTACACAATATATTATTTTTTAAAAGATAACCTCATCCCACTGCTTAAAGTTAAACCATGGTAAGTATCCAAATTAAGAACGACTAAGTATATTCCAGTCTCTTCCATTTTAACGGATTAACTTACAACCAGTCATGTTTGCCAATAATTGTACAACTCGGTTGTTCTAGGACGTGTTTTTGATGATTCGGAGGAAGACGTTGACTATATTTACAGATGCAAAAAACACAACCACCGTCCTTGAGTTGAAAAAAATCATTGAAGGTGAGTTTGATACTTTTTTATTACGTCAAACATAACTTACTTTTTGATAGGGTTTTTAAAGATACCACCGCAGGACCAACAGTTGTTTAATAAAGATAATACTATTATGGTGGATGATAGGATGTTGCAGGATTATGGACTGACTTCGACCACAACTACAGCTCAGAATCCAGCGACAGTAGGGCTTGCAGTACGGTGAGTAGAAGTCACCTTCTAACAAATAAGTAGCTATTATGGGTATTATACAGAGATACTGCGGATGCTTTTGAAGATTTGGAGTATACCCCATATTCAACTGCTGATTTAGCAGATGTTATGAAATCTCAGGAAGCTAATGGTCAAGAACAATCTTCTTGAGTTTGTTTTGTTTATGTGAATTTTTTTCTTAAAAAAAAGTCAGATGAAAATATCTATGCTGTGATAACCCAAACTTCCCGCCTTAAAATTTGACCTTGAAACAGTTTGAAAGGCCCGCGAAAAATTCAAAAATTCAAAGTTTGGCCTTGGCTGTGATCGTCTAACAAATGAGAACCTATGTTGTGTGTTTTTTTTTTTTGTTTTTGAAAAATGGCGGGAAGACGTTCTTTCATACAAGTGCATACACGGTCGAGAGCGCAAGAAATAATAGACAAAATTAGGTTGGTCAAAAGCCTTCCTAAGGAGGAAAAAGAAACGAAGAACGACAACAGAGGTTCGAATTGCCCTTCTGGCGAGTCCGCAGGGCCAAGGTGTCATCGGTCTTCATTCCCCAAAACCCCCTGGGGTTTTATTCACCGACATATTATATGTCAAACACCTTAAGATATATGAACGAAAAACACTCGCGAATTGACAGACATACACATATGAAAACCGAACAAACACAAGACCTACACATATGTAAATTGAATGGCAGAACCCGAATCATTATGAGAGTGTGGCGATCGAACAAAATATAGAACAAAATATATCAATTTCATTTACGAGCACAGCAAAATACCCAGAGGGGGCGTTATAGCGCAAGTAGAGGTTGGGACTCCTGATCGTCACTGTTCTCCCCCACGACGGTGATTCTATCTACACCAAAGCCTGCTCACACGCACATCTCCATTACGAACGTGCCCTGCGAAACGAGGCGGTTACGATCGCAGATCCGTAGTTGGGTCCCGGCTATGTACAGAAGCCGACAGCGTTAAAAACCCGCGATCGCCCCCTGAAGCTATACAAAACCCGCGGACTTTTGCAGGCGACGCGATTAATCCCGTCAGTTTGAGAAGGAGTCGCGCGCCCCACGTACACTACGAGTTATGTGTTATTTACCCTCAATTTCATTTAAATGTTCAATCTCTATGGCTCTAATATTAAATGACAACCGAACAAGTGTTAAAGTTTCCACAAAGAGCAATACACAACATTTAAATTCGCCACACACTCTTACGAAAATTCAACAACAAATAATTCTTAATTGAGATTAAATTTGGACATCAGATAATTTACATGATAGAAACATTCACCAACAAAATATTTACAAGATCAAAACTTAGCAAAGATTTATAAAACAAAGATCTGGTGTGAAATAAGCTTGTGCAAATAAAATATCATGTTAGGTCAAAACTGCAGAGCATGGAAATTTACGTTCAATTCAAATTATACAACAAAGAAAATTACTGAGGCTGAAATTGTGAGATAAAGAAAAATTGCATGAGGTGAGACATTACAAAGTTAACAAATTTACATGAGAGTGATAATAATTCGTGTCCAGTCAAGTTATTGGTTAAAATTCAAAACGTGAAATTATTCAGCTACATTGTGGGCCATTATTACACATACATTTCCCCAAACAAAACACATAAACAAAACATGGCAGACAATCTGCAGGCACAAATGGCGTTGGACGAATTCGTCATTCCAAATAATAGGCGTCGAAAATATGCGATGCAAAAATGCGATGAATCCTGTGGCGTTGTATAAACGATGGGCTAAATCAAGGAATAAAAGGCACGTCCCCCCATGACCCACAATGTTTGTTAATTTGTGCAATAGGTTCAGTTGAAACATGTGCTCGGTTAAAAGAAACAAAATGGACGCTTCAAAATGGCTGCTGCCTGAACAAAGAACGGTGAAAATAACAACTCGTCTGCCGCCATCCAAAATACAGATTTCACAAATATAGCTAAATAAAGCATGCCCCGAACTAAAAATCACTTCCTGCAAAGCCCTACTACGACGGATTTTAAATGAAAGGTAAAAAAACGAGATTAGTGGAAAAAAGCGCACGCGTCGCTGAGTCACGAGGTCAGGAGCACCGTCGACACTTGAAACTCGCCGCGAAACAGGACCCAGTCCAAAACATGGGGTCAAAACATACCTCTCCAAAGATGCGAAGATTTCGACACGGCTTACCGCCAAAAGGAACACAAAAACCTCGTCGTAAGAACGATGAGAAATCAGGAACACCCAATGGCTCAACGGGGGCTGCTAGGTTTTCCAATGGAACAGATCAACACTGGAAAAACAAAACACAACAGCAAAAGGCACAGAATAATTCACAAATAAAAATACGACCTGTTGCTCGAAGCGCTCGGAAGGAAGTGGTCTGTTTGCTCGAAGCGGTTAGAGGGAAATCGTCTGTTTGTTCGAAGCGGTCAGAGGGAAGTGGGTGATTTTACACGAGACAAAACCACTCTAACATTTTCTTGCGCATGTCTCTTTATTGGTGTCGTTGGTTGCCAACCTCTTCTTCTTACCAACCGTTTCTTGCGCGCGCGAAATTCATTTGAAATTTAAAAATTCGAATTGGGTCCTTACAATGCTAATAATGTATTTGCTGTTAAGTTGTAGATCTTTATGTAGCTATAACCAAACGGTAATTATATTAACATAGATATAGTTCTTTGGTAAATGATTAAGCAAATTAACTAAAAGTTCTTAAGTTTCATTATATATTGAATCCATACAATGTTTGTAAAATAAGCTTGTGGTAGTTCTTTTTATTAGGATAATAATAACAGTCTTCATACGTTTTTATTGTTCTTTTTTGTAACATAAAGTTTCTGCAATATTTTGCGTGTAAATAATAATAAAACAACAAAATTTATTTGATCATCCTACCAACAATGAGATGATGTCAACTGAAAATTTGGCAGTACAAGTTTATTAAATTTTTATATAAAATTACCGTGAAATGAGGAAAATTTCAATTTGACAATCAGGTATGATATCATGTTTAATATGTTGCAAACCTAGCAAAAAATATCTCAAACAACAATGCCTCTGTGTGACGCATAAAGTGTTTTTCAGATAAATCTGCTTCAAGTTGGCTTTAAACTTTAAACGTGTGAAAGCACATTAATTATTTTAAACATTGTGTACCGTGTAAATTGACAAATTTATCTCAATGATCATACTGAAAATTATCTTATTTTCAGTAGCTTTGTGTACTTTGTTGATGGAAAGTTCCTCATCAGTTGCTCTGGGTCTCAGGAGTGGGGAAATTCTCTGCCAAGATTTGTTAGTCATGACCACGGCTGTAGAATATAAGGTTGGTACACTAAGGGAAATTTGGTGGAATAAAATTTGGGTGTCCTAGGCGGCTTTGGGGCGCTTTAGATCGTTTCGCCATCTGTGAATTACGATTACACACTAACATCTTTATGAATGAAATTTTTCAAAAATTTGGCAAATTGACAACTGACAGGCTGCCAAAACTCATTCTACTTCTAGTTGATGCAGTGATGTTGATGTATTATAACTAGAAATTACTGTTTAAATTGGTTTAACGAGATCGCCAACTCAGAGAGGAACGTACATTTATACATAACAAACCTCGGCAACCGCAGGTTTGTTCGATATTTCTAGCACTATTGTTTCATGTAAACAATCATTAAACAAGCATGTGCGATGACCAGATAAACACAGATTCCTTCGAAAAACAAGTTGACAATGTACTGGTTAAGAACTTTTCGGTAATTGATTACATTAGCGACCGCGATTTTGCCGAATCTGCCCCCACAAAAACCTCATACAACACCCCTGATCACGTTCCTACCTAACCTTCAAATGTTGTACAAACATTTCTCATAACATTTGAAGAGTAGGAACGCGATCAGGGCAGGGGCGTTGTATGAGGGTTCTGCAAAAACGGTTTCAGAGAAGTCGCATAGTAGCTAGTGTAAACAATGGTCAAAGATGCTTCCAAAAGATTGAACGTTTAACATAAAAATTATTATTAAATGCTTTGATTAAATGTCAAAGTTGTCATTTATGTCGGTATAATCGTGTCCTTTTGATGTGGCAAAAATTAATGCCTCTAAATACCGTAAGAGGGACCCATTTGAAAACGCGCGTCATGGCCAACTGGTACGGAAAGAAATTATTCCACCTACCGGAACGTGAATGAATGAAAGATACTCAACCTATCTATTCTACAGCCGTGGTCATGACTTTGTCGATGGGATCCAAGCAAGTTTCCAACCTTTGTACTGACTTCCCATTAAAGTAATTATACTTTAAATTTCTATGTAATGCTTTTAAGTGTGTTAGTGTTTATGCCAGCATGTAACTTATGATCGTTGTGTCTGTTTAAAAATGTTAGCAGTGTGATAACCCAAACTTCCCGCCTTTAAATTGACTTTGAAAAGTTTGAAAGGCCCGCGAAAAATTTAAAAATTCAAAGTTTGGCTTTGGCTGTGATCGTCTAACAAATAGGAACCTACGTTGTCTGTCTTTTTTTTGTTTTTGAAAAATGTCGGGAAGACGTTTTTTCATACAAGTGAGCATATACTGCATGTGAGTTGAGAGCGCAAGAAATAATAGACAAAATTAGGGAGGGGTCGAAATGGCACCCTTTCTTTGGAGGAAAAGCAACGAAGGGCGAAAGTGACTCAGCGTGCCCTTCTGGTTATTCCGCAGGGTCAAGGCGTCATCGGTCTGCATTCCCAAAAACTCCCTAGAGCTTTATTCACCGAAATATTACATTTCAAACACCTTAAGACATATGAAAGAAAAACACTCGCGAATTGACATACACATATGAAAAACGAACAAACGCAAAATCCTATACATCTGTTTGGAATCAATGTAAATATTTGAATATCACAAATTTAATAAAACAACAAAGCAAACACTGAATTAAGTAACTGTATGCAAATACACAAGTTATTACGGGTGTGGCGGCAGATTTTTACTTCCCGAGCGTAAGCAAAGGAAGTATTGTAATCGAGTCCGTCGGCCGACTCTCTACTTTTACGTTTTCTCGATCTTTCATGACCCCTAGAAGACGAAGAAATAGGTCTCCCATTTCCGTCTGTCTGCCCGTCTGTCCGTCTGTCCGTCTGTCCGTCTGTCCGTCCGTCTGTCCTCTGTCCGTCTGTCCGTCTGTTGTCACGGATTTTTATTAGACAGATAATCTCCGAAAGTACTCGACCGATTGTTGTGAAATTTTGTACTTACATTAAGAATATCATGTAGATGGTAAAACGCTAACCAAAATTTGTCGAATCATCCCCACCACTAAAGCGATGACGTCACTTCAAAATTGTACATAGTAAATGGGTTTTCAATTGTATAAAATAACATAGTCCTATACATGTAGTTTACAACTCTGAATCGACTTTTCACCCGAAACGTCCAGATTTTTGTAAAAAAAATCAAAATTATAAAACAACATTTTGAAATTTAATTTTTAATCTGCTAACCAGAATGCTTTGAAATGTTGCAGATGTTTTAAGGCTATAAAGAGCATCATAAATCTTTAGTCAAAAAATATTTGCTTATCCCCTCCAAAAACTTGATGACGTCAGCTCAAAAGTTTGTGGAATAAATCATATCTAAAATGTACAAAATATGATGAGTCTGTACTTGTGAACTATCACTCCATTCATATTTTTTGGATTTGCATATACAGGGTGACTCAAAAAAATTAATGAATGCGTAAATATATTTTATTGATTTAATCAGGAACTACAAAACCGAATGCTCTGAAATCTTGCAGATGTTTTAAGGTCATAAAGAGCATAATAAATGTTTAGTCAAAATATATTTTCTTATCCCCTCCAAAAACTTGATGACGTCAGCTCGAAAGTTTGCCGAATAAATCATATCTAAAATGTACAAAATATGATGAGCCTGTACTTGTCATTTATCACTCCATTCATATTTTTTGGATTTGCATATTCAGAGTGACTCAAAAAAATTAATGAATGCGTAAATATATTTTATTGATTTAATCAGGAACTACAAAACGGAATGCTCTGACATCTTGCAGATGCTTTAAGGTTATAAAGAGCATAATAAATGTTTAGTCAAAATATATTTGCTTTTCCCCTCCAAAAACTTGATGACGTCAGCTCGAAAATTTGCCGAATAAATCATATCTAAAATGTACAAAATATGATCAGTCTGTACTTGTGATCTATCACTCCATTCATATTTTTTGGATTTGCATATACAGGGTGATTCAAGAAAATAAATGAAAGCGTACATTTATTTTACTGATTTACTCAGGAACTACGAAACCGAATGCTTCGAAATCTTGAAGATATTTTAAAATTATCATAAACATTGTAAATTTTTGACCAAAACGTATTTGGTCGTCCCCCCTAAAAAATTTATGACGTCACCACAAAATTTTGCTGAATAAAACCTATCTAAAATGTACAAAATATGGTGAGTCTCGTCTTGTAATTTGTCATTCCATTCAAATTTTTTCGATTTGCATATACAGGGTGACTCAAAAAAATTAATGAATGCGTAAATTTATTTTATTGATTTAATCAGGAACTACAACACCGAATGCTTTGAAATCTTGCAGATGTTTTAAGGTTATAAAGAGCATAATAAATTTTTAGTCAAAATATATTTGGTTATCTTCTACAAAAAACTGATGACGTCAGCTCAAAAGCTTGCCGAATAAATCGTATCTAAAATGTACAAAATATGATGAGTCTGTACTTGTGATTTATCATTCCATTCATATTTTTGGATTTGCATATGCAGGGTGACTCAAAAAAAATAATGAAGGCGTGAATTTATTTTATCGATTTAATCAGGAATTACAAAACCGAATGCTTTGAAATCTTGGGAATATTTTAAAGTTATTATAAGCATGGTAAATTTTTGTTCAAAATGTATTTGTTCATCCCTCCTAAAAAAATTGATGACGTCACTCTTAAATTTTGCTGAATAAATCCTATCTAAAATGCAAAAAATATGATGAGTTTGTAATTGTGATTTATCATTCCATTCATATTTTTTAGATTTTCTTATGAGGTGGTTCAAAAAAATTAATGAAGTCAATTTATTTTATTGATTAAATTAAAGGCAACACTTATTATTAGTATTACACCCCAACCAACCCAATTTGGTAGACACAAAATTTGTTAAAGGAAAAACTCGGTTGAAACATAAGGGTAGCACGCTTATTTACATCGACTTTGACATTATAGACCTGCATTTGTTTTATGCGTTCACTTGATTCCGCGAATGTGAAATAGACATGTTTATAATCAACCAATTGTGAATTTCACCGTCAAGAATTAAAATAAAACCCAATGTTTTATATAATAAGCGGAAGTCGAAGCAATAAAACCGACGGTCGTTTTGTTTACAGTTTCTCTGTTTGGCTCTCACGTATGCTGTTACGCCTGTCATCTTAAATTAAGAATGTTTATACATACACGATTTTCAGTTGCCTCTGATACGTAGGTATACGTGAGTAAATTGTTTCGTTATTTTATTGATTATTACAAATCAATATTCAAACGACCCAATTCATTTTCCCGAAAATTTGAGAATATAATAATTTTATTCTTAGTATTACACTACATCTATCCCAACTGATATACGTGTCCTTGCAAAAATGTTGATGACGTCATCGCAATTTTTTTTTAAATTCCCACTACAAAAATGTAATGAGAAAAAAAACACAATAGGCATGCAGTCGTCAAGTTTCCGACAGCGAGGGAAGTACTGTCTAAACTCTTTAGACCAATTTTTAAAGTTACGGCAGTTAACAGGAGCACAACAAGAGTACTCCTGGGCATTCTAGCATAAACGGAGTTTGGGGCTACCAGTCTGGGGCTATTCTCCTCCACGACGGTGATTCTATCTATCACAGAGCCTACCCGCCCTGCGGAACTAGGCCATTACGGTCTCTAGACCCGCAAGAGGATCTCGGCTATGGACAGAAGCCGAGAACTTTACATCGGCGGCCGCCCCTGAATTTATCCAAACCTGTGGACTTGTACAGGTGACACGATCAATCTCGCCAGCTCGACTAGGAACCGAACTTCGCTTCTGTCACGTTTTCTGTGTTATTTAACCTAAATTCCATTTTTAAATATTCAATCTCTTATAACTCTGATATTAACAACAACTAAACAAGCGTTAAAGTTTCAACGAGCAATAAACAATATTTAAATTCGCCATACAATCTTGTGAAAATTTAACCAACAAATAATTCTTATGTGAGATAAAAATTGGACATCAAACAATTTATATGATAGAAACATTCATCAACAAAGTATTTACAAAACAAAACTTAGCAAGGATTTATGAAACAAAAGATCTGGTGTGAAATAAACTTGTACAAATAGAAATATTATGGGAGGTTAAAACTGTAGAACATGAAATTTACGTTCAATTAAAACTATACAACAAATAAAATTACTAAAGTTAAAACTGTGAGATTGAGAAATATTGCATGAGGTGAAAATTTGCAAAGTTAACAAAATTTACAGGAGATTAATAATTGCTACACTTTATCAACGATTCGAACAAAGAGTTTACATTATGTCAAATTATATCATGATCTAAGTGATTGGTTACTTCAAAAACAATTTACATTGAGAGTTTAAAATACCGCGAACTGGTTACCCCAACAAAACACATAATAAACAAACACAAAAATATCCAGTCATCGCTCCGAGGGAAAAAGCGTCTCGGTGAAGTAAATTTTAAAATCGTTGCGAGGAAAAAGCGTCTCGGTGATGTAATCATTAATCAATCTGTAGCGTTGGGAGGGCATGCCTTGATAAATTAATCAATCTATAGCGTTGTGAGGGCATGCCTTGATAAATTAATCATGATAACGATGATAACCGCCTAAGGGAAGAAACCATTTTAAACCCCTCCCGCCAGTTCGCAGTATAATGAACTTGTTTAACTGCCGTAAATGAACTATTAGCAATTTTGTGTGAATAATTTAGAAGTGTTATAATGTAACACTTACGTATATGCATCCAGAAACCTATTCGTAATTAAACAACAAGGTATTTTTCCTGAGTAAGTGAATTTCATGAAATCTTCTAGCAAGTGGTTTATTTAAATAATCCTGATTGTTAAACTGTGTTTGCACTAGCTGACTATTAAGAAAAACTAACTTGATTGGTGAATTTACAAACAATGAAACAAATTTATAGCACGTGTTTCGCGTTGACCGGAAGTCGGCATTTTCCGATTAAAAGGCCGCAAGAATTAACTGCGCGGGTTGGGGACAACTGTGTCATTATGAAAGTTACGATTGATTGTCGTTAAACAAAGGTTTCCTCCCATTTTATTAACTACCAAACCAACTAATTTAAACCTAGCTCTTACCACGTGGTTACACTCACACAAGCACATTCAGAATGACCTTACGCCATGCTGCCCTGTCTCTACCAATCAACCAACCCTGTAACTAGAAACCCCTAGCGCTAAATCGTCCGATTACCAAGCAAGGATTTCCGTGCACCAGGTTGCATATGTTTAACGATTTCCTATTTTGTGATTGATTTTTTTTTTCTTTCAAATTCAAATTATTCAAATGTGATTTCGCGCCGCTGTTAATTAATTTCAGCGCGAAAACTTTGATTTAAATTCAGTCACCACAGTAGTTTTGCTTTTAATTTGCTAAAATTATTTTTGTCTGTTGCTTTTAACATATCGTTCAGATGATTCCACACTATTTTCTGAATCTCTTTAGTTATTATTTTGCATTTCCCTTGAAGAAGCCATTTTTTTTACAGGCCAAGTACATAATTATTTATTAGGCACATGACCCATAATAATAATAATAATAAACGTCTTTATTTCAGATACATACAGGGTTAGTCACGAGAGAATTACTTCTGAAAATTATTTTTACGCAACCCAAAATACTAATACCCTGTACCACTTGATATTATTTAAATTTGAAATGAAATGCCTAATCCATGATTGCGTTGACTTTGGCAGTGTCACTTTGACGTTAATTAATTTTTAACATTTTTTTTTCATCGTTGACTCGTCTCTAGAGCCCCATTGGATCGACGACATACAGTCAGATCAATCTGGGCTATACTGAAGCCGTAAGTGCTGTACCAATGTTGTTCGCCGCTAATGTGCATGTGTTAATTCGCCATCTCTCCCTCACCTAGAGCCTCTTCGAAGTGCAAATCTGCCACCTCTGGACTTCTTCGTCCATCCATTTACAAAAAAGCCGTAGCATCCCCCCAGAATGCCCAACATTTTCAACAAATTAGTAGTTAAATTATTTACTTACTTGTTTGAGTTTGTGTTGTAACCTTTGAATAAAATGCCGTAAAGGAATTTTTAGAAATAATTTTCTCGTGATTAATCGGTTGCAAAAGATCAAGAGGCACACTGACAAATTTATTAGCGGCGCCGGAGGAGATTTCCGACTGGTTGCGGTACCACCATGGACACTCGCGTAACCTCCTTTTCCACAATTGTCAAAATGAGATTGCCAAACTCAAAGCAATCATGGATTAAGCATTTCATTTTAAATTCAGTTAGTATCAAATGGTACATGGTATTCGTATTTTGGGTTGCGTAAAAATAATTTTCAGAAGTAATTTTCTCGTGACTAACCCTGTATACAGTACCTCTCGGAGGCGAAGTTTAGCTTATAGCTATTCTTACACTTAACCTCTTACAAAAATAACCTACAGTTTACACTACAAAAATATAACAGAAATTCTAGAAATGAGACAATTATAAGAGAAAAGAAAAATGATGAGATAAAAAAACAATTATAAATTTACAGAAGCTTATATGAAAAACAACCACATGATTCATTAATACGTGTATAAGATAATCTAATACGTAACCTAATAGTTTAAGAATTGTTTTTTTTTTTTAATAAGATTTGAATAAGTGATTTCTTAAATCGGGCAATGGGAAGATTCTTAATGTTACAGTCTACAGCATTACATATCATTATATAACAGCATTGTAACTAAAACAGCGTTTAAATTTTTTGACAAATCGTCGTGTTCTCTGATATTCGATATAAAGCGATACATTTTTGATCTTTTGCAGTCTACTTTTATGTATGGGATACAAACAAAGGTGATAAACAGTAATGATGTAAAATAAAACCGAGAAAAATTAATGATTCCGTTAATTTTTTATTTTTTTTTATTTTGAAGTTTAGGAGAAACTGGAAGCACATAATATTTTAACCTTAAGTAGACCGATTTAAGTAAGTAAGCAACATGTGATATAAAATGTAAATCATAATCAAAGTGAAAATGCCTAATATTCGAGCAGAATCAGTCCAATTTAAGACATTACCAATAAGTTTGACTGTTATTACATTTTTGATCCTTTATTTGAATTACTACGTAGTATCTTTTTTTGAATTTGTTTTGAATCTGTCTTAATCAGGCTTGTGGGAACTGTAACTATATTAGGTGAAAAGTTAGTGACATTGTTTTCAATATTTAACTTGTTTTTGGTCGAAAATACTTCATCAATATTTACCGTTCTATCTGGTGTCGTTGTTGGCGGAGTACTTTTTGACTTTATAAAAATCTGCGGTTGTTCAGTTTCTTCTAAATCATTTGCAGTGTATACATCATCATTAACATATAACTTATTTCCTTTAATATAAGCTTTCAGTTTCTTTTGTTTAGCCAAACTAAGATGGGTTCTTAAAATTTTGTATTCCTTAATTTCATCCGTGGTTAAATCGTTATTTATATAAATCCTCGAACCTTTCAAATTTATGCGAGCTTGGAGTACTTCATATTTTTTAATACGTGAGATAAATTCAATAATTACCGGTCTTTTGGTTTGGTTTTTTCCTATTAAGTAGACATTATTTATGTCAGAAATGCCAACTTAAATGTGTAGACACTCCTTTAATTTCTCACATACAAAGGATGCTAGTTCCGATGAGGGTAAACGTTCATTTGTCACTTCCAATCCAAAGATGATGATATTCTTTTTTTTTGTTTGCTTTTTCTAGATACTTAATTTTATTTTTTAAGTACTCGTTTTCTCTTAATAATTGCCGACTTACGTTGGACAATATACTAGATTCAGCCTGATCAATTTTGTGATTTAGATCCTCACGTAATTTACGAATTTCGAGGTTTTATCAGTTACTGACAAAAGAAACCGATTTATAAAAATGTATTCAGGTTTTTCACACATGTAGGTGGGCAGATGCTATCAGCTACATCTGTCCCCTGATAGGGATTCTCTTGTGAAATTGTTTTTTTTTATTTATTTATATATTTTGTTTATATATTTTGTCGCAGTAATGTGTATAATTACTATATTAGTGGGAGTACTTACACAATACACCTGCACACCGCACACTTCTTTGTATCGCACACACAAAAACGAAGCCAGCACCAGGAATAAAAAACGCCGAAAATTATTTCGTTCAATTACTCGAAAATAACTGAATTGTTGCAAGAGTCACTTATACCACTGAAATGATTGGCCAAAAACACACAAAATGGCACTAAATTCAAAAATATACGCCAAGAACAACCCGACCAAACTTAGTAAAAACGAAGACCACTGTCACAGCGACTTATCTTATCATTAATCATTACTCATTATGTACTTGGTAGAAATACCAACATCTCAAAGGTGTGAGGGGTGAGGCGCGAGAGGTTTATTCCCACGTAGTCTGATGGCAGACAAGTTTTAGTTTAACCCCTTAACACGCTGTGGTTAGTATAGTGACCACGTCAAGAAAGTTCATATTCTTCACAATTTAATATGCATTTATAATGGATACTGACCTCTAGAAGCATGTTGAACGCATCTAGGTGCCCAGTGGCTTATATACTGTTCACATATTGAAGTAAAAAAAAAATAGTAACGAGTGGTCACTCAACTGACCATAGCGTCCTCGTTTAACGTATTCTGATAAAACTGAATTCGATACGCTTTTTTTACGATTCTGAGAATAATGAAAAAGCAAACGGTAAGTTGTTTTGGCTACTACATTAGTAAGCATTCTGTTCTTCACACAGTAGAGTGAAAACTTATTAGGTGCCGACTAGACATCAAAATTTAAATGTGACAGTTTTAGTTCCATATATTTGATGAAGGTAAGTCACTTTTGTACATTTTTTTGTAACTCTGATATAAACAATATATTACATAAAATTACATTTTTATGATTCTAACTACTACAACAATTTCAAAAAATCAGCAATATTAAACATTCAGTCTTGCGCAAAGGAGATATTGAAAAAATGCGTATATCTGAAACCTGGGTTTTATTGCATGCCTATTATGTTTTTTTTTCGTATTAGATTTCAAAGCATTCGGTTTTGTAATTATTGATTAAATCAATAAAATAAATTTCGCGCATTCATTAAATTTTTTGAGTCACCCTGTATATCCAATCCAAAAAATATGAATGGAATGATAAATTAAAAGAAGAGACTAATCACATTTTGTACATTTTAGATAGGATTATTCGGCAAACTTTTAAGGTGACGTCATCAATTTTTTGGAGGGGATGAGCAAATATATTTTGACTAAAGATTTATGATGCTCTTTATAGCCTTAAAACATCTGCAACATTTCAAAACATTCGGGTCAGCAGATTCAAAATAAAATTTCAAAATGTTGTTTTATAATTTTGATTTTTTTTTCAAAAATCTGGACGTTTCGGGTGAAAAGTCAATTCGCAGTTGTAAACTACATGTGTAGGACTATGTTATTTTATACAATTTAAAACCCATTTACTATGTACAATTTTGAAATGACGTCATCGCATTAGTGGAGGGGATGATTAGACAAATTTTGGTTAGCGTTTTACCATCTACATGATATTCCTAATATAACTACAAAATTTCACAACAATCGGTCCAGTACTTTCGGAGATTATCTGTCTAAAAAAAATCCGGGACGGCAGACAGACGGACAGACAGACGGAAATGGGAGACCTACTTCTTCGTCTTCTAGGGGTCATGAAAGATCGTGAAAACGTAAAAGTAGAGAGTCCGCCGACGGACTCGATTACAATACTTCCTTTGCTTACGCTCGGGAAGTAAAAATGTATCTGTATCTGCGCCATTAATTTTGTATCTAGAGACAGATATTTTTCCTTAAATTCGATTTTATCTAGATGCAGATACTAGAAACCCAAAAATGTATCTAGATACTTTATTTAGACACAAGTATCTAGATATTTCCCAACACTGCTGACATGTAATATTTGTATGTATATAATTGTTATTCTTTTAGCATTTTTAATAAAAAAATCTAAAAACTTTTCTGCACTTATTTTTATTCGTAAAACATTGAACAATAATCCGAAATTTGGCATGACACTAGACAATATTCTCGAGCCACTCATTGAATGATTTCCTTGAATTTCCTTTTAGAATACTTATCTCAACTTGGTACCATGCTGTGAGGATTATAGGGAATTATTAGTTTCGAGGTAAGAAATGTGGGTTCCAGCAACCCGAAAGTGAGCGTTAAAAAAATTGGTCTAAAGAGTTTAGACAGTACTTCCCTCGCTGTCGGAAACGTGACGACTGCATGTCTATTATGTTTTTTTTTTCGCAGTAGATTTCATTTTTCTTTTTGAGTCACCCGGTATATGCAAATTCAAAAAATATGAATGGAATGATAAATTACAAGTACAGACTCATCATATTTTGTACATTTTAGATAGGATTTATTCAGCAAAATTTTGGGGTGACGTCATCAATTTTTTAGGGGGGATGAGTAAATACATTTTGATAAAAAATACACCATGCTTATAATAACTTTAAAACATCTCCAAGATTTTAAAGCATTCAGTTCTGTAATTCCTGATTAAATCAATAAAATAAATTGACACATTCATTAATTTTTTTCAGTCATTCTGTATATGCGAATCGAAAAAATATGAATGGAATGATAAATCACAAGTACAGACACATCATATTTTTCACATTTTAGATAGGATTTATTTACCAAATTTTAGGGTGACGTCATCAATTTTTTTAGGGGGGGATGAGCAAATAAATTTTGATAAAAAATTTACCATGCTTACGATAACTTTAAAATATCTCCAAGATTTCACAGTATTCGGTTTTGTAATTCCTGATTAAGTCGATAAAATAAATTCACGCATTTATTAATTTTTTTGAGTCACCCTGTATATGCAAATCCAAAAATATGAACGGAAATATAAATCACAAGTACAGACTCATCATATTTTGTACATTTTAGATAGGATTTATTCAGCAAAATTTTGGGGTGACGTCATCAATTTTTTAGGGGGGATGAGCAAATACATTTTGATTAAAAATTTACCATGCTTATAATAACTTTAAAACATCTCCAAGATTTCAAAGCATTCGGTTCTGTAATTCCTGATTAAATCAATAAAATAAATTGACGCATTCATTAATTTTTTTTCAGTCACTCTGTATATGCAAATCGAAAAAATATGAATGGAATGATAAATCACAAGTACAGACTCATATTTTTCACATCTTAGATAGGATTTCTTTACCAAATTTTAGGGTGACGTCATCGATTTTTTTAGGGGGTGATGAGCAAATAAATTTTAATAAAAAATTTACCATGCTTATGATAACTTTAAAATATCTTCAAGATTTCACAGCATTCGGTTCTATAATTCCTGATTAAATCAATAAAACAAATTGACGCATTCATTAATTTTTTTGTCACCCTGAATATGCAAATCCAAAAAATATGATTGGAATGATAAATCACAGGTACACACTCATCATATTTTGTACATTTTAGATAGGATTTATTCAGCAAAATTTTGGAGTGACGTCATCAATTTTTTAGGGGGGAAGAGCAAATACATTTTGATAAAAAATTTACCATGCTAATGATAACTTTAAAACATCTCCAAGATTTCAAAGCATTCGGTTCTGTAATTCCTGATTAAATCAATAAAATCAATTGACGCATTCATTAATTTTTTTCAGTCACCCTGTATATGCAAATCGAAAAAATTTGAATGGAATGATTAATCACAAGAAGAGACTCACCATATTTTGCACATTTTAGATAGGATTTATTCAGCAAAATTTTGTGGTGACGTCATAAACTTTTTAGGGGGGACGACCAAATACATTTTGATCAAAAATTTACCATGCTTTTGATAATTTTAAAACATCTTCAAGATTTTAAAGCATTCGGTTTTGTAATTCCTGAGTAAATCAGTAAAATAAATTTACGCATTCATTAATTTTTTTGAGCCACCCTGTATATGCAAATCCAAAAAATATGAATGGAGTGATATATCACAAGTACAGACGCATCATATTTTGTATATTTTAAATAGGATTTATTCGGCAAACTTTTGAGCTGACGTCATCAAGTTTTTGGAGGGGATAACCAAATATATTTTGACTAAAGATTTATGATGCTCTTTAGAGCATTAAAACATCTGCAACCTTTCAAAACATTCGGGTTAGCAGATTCAAAATTAAATTGGAAAATGTTGTTTTATAATTTTGATTTTTTTTCCAAAAATCTGGACGTTTCGGGTAAAAACTCAATTCGGAGTCGTAAACTACATGTGTAGCACTCTATACTTTTATATAATTTAGAACCCATTTACTATGTACAATTTTGAAGTGACGTCATCGCATTTGTTGTGGGATGATTAGACAAATTTTGGGTAGCGTTTTACCATCTACATGATATTCCTCATATAAGTGCAAAATTTCACAACAATCGGTCCAGTACTTTCGGAAATTATCTGTCTAATAAAAATCCGGGACGGCAGACAGACGGACAGACGGACAGACGGACGGACGGGCGGACAGACAGACGGAAATGGGAGACCTATTTCTTCGTCTTCTAGGGGTCATGAAAGATCGAGAAAACGTAAAAGTAGAGAGTCGGCCGACGGACTCGATTACAATACTTCCTTTGCTTACGCTCGGGAAGTAAAATATTGGTCTAAAGAGTTTACACAGTACTTCCCTCGCTGTCGGAAACGTGACGACTGCATGCCTATTATGTTTTTACTTCCCGAGCGTAAGCAAAGGAAGTATTGTAATCAAGTCCGTCGGCCGACTCTCTACTTTTACGTTTTCTCGATCTTTCATGACCCCTAGAAGACGAAGAAATAGGTCTCCCATTTCCGTCTGTCTGTCCGTCTGTCCGTCTGTCCGTCTGTCCGTCCGTCTGTCCGTCTGTCCGTCTGTCCGTCCGTCTGTCCGTCTGTCCGTCCGTCTGTCCGTCTGTCCGTCCGTCTGTCCGTCTGTTGTCCCGGATTTTTATTAGACAGATAATCTCCGAAAGTACTCGACCGATTGTTGTGAAATTTTGTACTTATATTAAGAATATCATGTAGATGGTAAAACGCTAACCAAAATTTGTCTAATCATCCCCACCACTAATGCGATGACGTCACTTCAAAATTGTACATAGTAAATGGGTTTTCAATTGTATAAAATAACATAGTCCTACACATGTAGTTTACAACTCCGAATCGACTTTTCACCCGAAACGTCCAGATTTTTGGAAAAAAAATCAAAATTATAAAACAACATTTTGAAATTTAATTTTTAATC